GACTTCAAGCTGTTCAAACTGGTGATCTCTCTTTCTAGAAAAGAAAGAAAGAAATGTCTTCTAAGTCAGAGAAAAGGCTGAAAACAGAGGCCAACCCTTCAAAGGTGACAGAAAAACCTCTGGGACAAGGCAGTGAAGAGGAGGGCATGTTCCAGGTATGGAAGGCAGGGATCCACTCCAGGAACACATCTTCCTCCTTCTCTTTATACAGGTCCCCCCTTTACCTCCTCTACTTGTAGCAAAGCATTTTTGTAGCTGAGCTGACTGCCTGGGGTCCCCTGCTGTTCCTTCACTAGTCCTCTGGCACGCTGAGTGACCCAACAGGCCCTATGGGCTGAGGAGCAACTTGTGGCAGGGCTGTGTTTAATGCAGGCTCTGTGTCGCCGCAGATTGGGAAGATGCGTTATGTCAGAGTGTCCTGCTTCAAGGGGAAGGTCCTTGTGGACATCAGGGAGTTCTACGCTGACAAGGAGGGCAGCATGAAACCGGGGAGGAAAGGTACACTCGCGTTCCCTAGCTGGCAGCCAGGACCGCGCCGGCCTTTCCGCCTCGGCTGCTGGCTCGCCAGCTCCGGCTTTGCCTGTCTCCCTCGGTGGTAGGGAGACCTGTGCATGCCACACTGAGGGACTGGGGAGCTGCGCAAACCACGTGGGAGGGTTTAGCGCTTTCTCAGCCTGGGTGGCAACAACTGAAGAAAAGCACAAAGAATGACTAAGTGTGAGCCTCCAGTGAGATCTGGAGTTTGGCACGCGCTCAGAAGCAGTGCAGGAAGCTGCTGTGCAGGACTTTAGTTCTACCTCTCATCACCAGTCCTTTCTTTGGCTGTTGGCAGGGGCAGAGCTGCAAGGTGGAGGAGGGAAGGCTGAAAACACTGGCTCTGATGTTGCTTCCTTGTGTCCTACTGCTAGCTGACAAACTTGTGTTTTGCTACTGGTGATGCCTAGGGCAAAAAGGTGGCATTTTGTGTGTTTGCCCCTAAGCTGTAATGGTGGAACTGAGCTTGGCAGGGAGAGCCTCCCAGAAGTAAATCCATCCTTCCCTATCTAGGTGAGGACAGGAAGGTTAAGACCCTTCTGGATCCCTACCAAGACAGTCCAATGCTGCTGTGTTAGGTGTTCCTTACTCTTTTGGCAAGGTGCCTGATGATGTGATACAGTGGCACAACTGGGGTGGCCCATCACAGCAGCACTACCTGCGTAGGGGATGCAAGCAAAGGCAGCTGGAGAAGGGAAGACACATTTTTCTCCAGCGCTCTTCAGCTGATGAGTCAACTCTCAACTTAGGCCTTTTGCTTTGGGACTTTGACAGTGACTTGCCAGCTTGCCTCGTAGTTCACAGGCCCTGGACTCTTTTCACCTGTCCTGTGTGTTGTGCCCAGCAAAGATTCAATTAATGGGGGGTTTCTTGAGGAACCTTTTGGTCCTTGCTATAGATTTTTGCGTCAAGGCGGACGAATTTGTTTCAGCTTGGTTTGCTTCGTTTCATAACCACTAAGCCTGGTTTTCCTTCTAGAAATTAATTTCCTTCGGAGCAGTTACAAGTAGAAATTACTTACTTAGGGGGAACTGTGTATCCTGTAATGAAAATGAGAAGCAAAGCCTTCAAGCTTTTCTGTGCCATTGGGGGCAGAGAGGGAAAGGAGCATTGTGGACTCCTTCCAGGCTGGAAAAAGCACACCCACAATGTATGACAGAAGATCTGTCAGTTAAAAATGTATTTTCATTTAAATACTGTCTCTGCTGTTTTTCTCAAGAGTTCTTGGCCCCTGATCTTTATCTAGAGAATTTAATAAAGCCTGGGCCCTAGTTCGCTAATGTGATTCTTAACAAAGCCAAAAGGAACAAGTTGACAACATCTGGCTGGAACCCACACTGCAATTCCACTACTGTGTTTGTTTTGTAAGGGGGAGGGACAGGACATCAAGACCTTATCTCTGCTGGCTCTAAAAAGAAGCCAGTTCTTCTCTAGTGTTTAAGCCACACTAGTGATTGCTTGTTAGCACCAGTTTTTTTAAACAGAGCTAGAGTTGGCATTATTTCCTTTGGGCAGTTGAAAGGATGCTGTCCTAACTGCTGTGTGGAGTAAGGTTCTCCTAGAATTTCCTCCCAGCTCATGTGGGTGGGAATTTGTACTAGAGAATAGGCTATAAGGGGCTGTGGGACTCTTGAAAGGCAATTTGAGTTTATATTCTCATATGGTGCTTCTGTGACAGCATTGAGTACTTCTCGATATGGACGCTGAAGTGCTGGCACAACTGCCATGCTTAGAAGGCTGCTCCTGTTTCTGGTCTGAGCCTTTGCCTCAGATTCCAACTTTCCCTTCTGTAGCTAGTCTGAAGGAGCCAATCTGGTGTGCTGCTTGATGCTTACCCCTTGCCTCCTCTGAAACCTCTCCTTCTGTTGTTTGTAGGGATTGCCCTGTCTGCAGAACAGTGGAACCAGCTGAAGGAGATCATTCCAGAGATCGATGTTGCAGTCAAGAAATTATAAGATGAAGAATCTTGGACACCTTCAATCTGTTTCCTTCACCTTAAGTGCACTGACAACTATAAAGCCAAGGATTCTCATCTGGAGCCTTCCCCTCGCCTTGCTGGGGTTTCCTCACTGAGGTGGTGATCATGCTGAAAAGACCAGAGACTCTTCAAGAAGTAGCTTGTAACGAGCACCTGGAACTAGAGCCAGTGCTGTCAAGTGAGACTTCAGCACCTCTGGTCTCAAGCAGACTTGAGGTCTGTGCTGGTGAGGGACATGACCCCAACCTGGCTTTCTGGATGGCTTCAGCCTACCTTGTGGAGGGCTTTAACTGCTCTATATCTGTTACTGTCTTCCACTTGGTTGACTGTTGAGTAAGATGGTTTGAATACCTCATGTTGGCATCCTCTGTGTTTCCTCCACGTGTCATTCTGGCTATTTCAAGTACTTTCTGTGTTGGTGAGCGTTGTTTGGTGGGGTTTTTGGGTTTTTTTGAGTGAAGAAAGGGATTATTATAATTTAGCAACTGGTTTGTCTGTAGAGGGTGAATATGCACAATAAATGTGTTTGCATTATAAAAAGGAGAGGCGTAGTGTTTCACAGGCTGGCACCTCAACTCTTTGTTTCAAGCACCCTTTGTAGGCTGCTGTTGGATTTCCCTTTCAGAAGGAGAGTGCTCTGTAGTGTTTATTCTCACGATATGTTCCCAATAATCCTGCTATACAGAAGCAGTCAGACAGCGATCTACTCCAGGTCATGGGAAGGGCAAACTAGAATGTGAATCATTCAAAGGAACTGGTAATTAGGAGGCCTATTAAATAGAGGGGAAATTAAAGGCCTAAGGAGGAAAAAGAATATTGCTTTCTCTGTGGCAGAGAAAAAAGACAAGATTTGGAAAGGGAGGAGAGAGGATATTTTATGCTTGAGCTCTAAATGGATCTCACTCTGAAATCAGCTGCAGCAAGTACAGCCTTTCTCAGCAAGACTTTTCCAGGCTTTTCAACAGCTTGTGTCTTCCATCTATTTTTGGTTTTCCTCTTGCCCTGGTTTCCATAGTATCTGAATGCTTCATGCTCTTAAATATATCTGACACTTGCAACACCTTGGTGAAGTAGGAGGTACCAAGGCCCTTGCTCTACAGAGGTGCTGGGGCTGTAACAGCTCGGGGTTGTGTGGAAGATGTGGGGTGGAGAAGTGAATTGAAACTAGGCTTTCCTAAGTGCTGAATTTGAAACTGCTGGATTAACCTTTCAGTAGGGATAGCAGGAGGAAAAAAAAAATCTTTCTTCATAAAACTGTCTCTTCAAAAAAATTTTGAAGGGCTCAGTGCTGTAGCTGCACTGGAACAGGGGTGGAGATAGGTAGACTTGATGACTGAGGCGTTCTCCTCTAATCCTATTCTCTATTCAAGTGTCACATTTCTTTCTCTCCAGTGAGAGAGAGCATCAGTATACTAGACTGTGTCCCGAAGCCAGGTTGCTCATGCTGTAAGCTTATTCCCGTGGAATATTTATAACATAATGTCTTAATACAGTGTTCGGAGACTAAAGGTAATGGGAAGATAAAGAACTTACAAAAAAGAAAGATATGAAAGAGAAGCAGATGGTGTAGGTATGAACCCAAGATGCTAGGGATGCTCAGTCCTTTCATGTTGTCCCAGCCCTGGGGTACCCACACTAAAGCATGTGACAGAAACAACCATCTCTGTGCATGATGCACGCTCCAGGAGTTTTTGAGGGAGAAGGAGAAGCCAGATCAAATCAGCAGAGCTTAATATCTTTGCTGATTAAAAACAGCTCCAAACTGAACTTGATCAGCTCAATTGAATGGTTCAAGAGCTGATGAGTGGCCTCCCCTTAATTGGGAAAGGAGGGCCGTGTTCTATTGTTTTCTGACTAGCTTGCTTTCAAGTGTTGGAAGAAACAGTTTGCAAACTACCCAAACTTTTTGTGTAACAGACAACAAGGCTTTTTTTTTTTTTTTTTTTTTAAATCCTCAAAGAACAGCTGCTCTCGATCAGAAAGATATCTGGAATCTTTGATGTTCATTTCCAATCTACCCACTCTTATAGACAACTTCTGGTCATAAAATCCATAAGCCTTAAAACTTAGTTAATTTTTGGTTTGTTGCAAAGTTAAAATGTTAAAAAAACCTAATCTTATATTGGTTGGGATAAGATATCCAATGGAAGGTAAACAGCAAGGTCTTGGTAAACAAGAGAGGGTGAAAGCTTATAGCAAGTTGTACTCTTTTACACAGAGAGTGTTTTTCTCTTAAGTTGGTAATCTGGCTGTCCTGGAGCAGTTTTCTCTGCAGAGACTTTTGCTCCACACCAGAAACAATCGCATTACAGGAATGAACTTTTATCTTCTTGAGATACTATATTGTTGCTTGGATATTTTCTGCCAGGACTGTCTTAATTAGTCCTTTGGCTTTTCTGCCCGGGGAGCAAATAGGTGAGGGAAGGCAGATTGTTTTGAAGGATCCTCCCTCCCACC